AAACGAGGAACATGCGGGCACGAAGCTGCAGAGGGCAGACCCTCTACACCCCGTGGCTCTCTGATCCGACTCCGGGAAACCTGGTCCTCTGTATCTCTGGCTAGGTTATGCCCCCCCCCGAGGCTGTCCTGGGGCCCCCTGAGTTCCCCAGAGGGGCCTATCTGGCCCTCACAGTCAGCACCTCCCTCCCAGGCCTGAAAGGGAATGCTGGAGTGATGCCTGATCACAACATTTAAAGACATGAAACACGCAGTTGTCTTCCTTGAAGCAAATCGCAGGTAAATAACTCAGTGGCCAGAATCTGTCTGTTCATTTATACTCTTGTCATGGAAGTGACAAGCTTCCTGGTGGCAAACAGGGGTTTGTGAATGAGGTGCAGGTTGTGTTCCCAGGCAGGAACTCTGGAGAACAACGAGCAACTGACTAAGGAGGGGCAAAGACTGCGGCCAAGAGACTTAGGTAATTTCTTTTCCTCAATAATAAACTAGCAATCAGATTCTGCTCCTTGTAAAATTTAAACCTGCAATCCCATGGTTAAATATAAATTTGACTGACATACGGTATGTTCTCGGGAATAACCCTGCATCCAGGTGGCAGACATCCTGAGTCCTACCAACCAAGCAGGGAACGCTGGATGAGAGCGACCCCTTTGTGGAAGTCAGGCTCTAATGATCTGTCAGCCCTGATCCTCTTTCACAGGAGTTTTGGGTGCTGTGGAATAGGGAGTTAGACGCTCTGAGCGTGATAAGAACCAGCCTGCTAACTCGGAGATCAAGAACTCTCCGTCCCCAGTTTGCCCTTTCGAGGTGATGTCCAGACACTGAAGGCTAAAAAAAAAGTCCCCACTCACTGCCCAAGGCTGCCTTTCCCTCAGCGCCCCTCCCAGATGCTCCTGCAACTGACCGAGACTTCAGAGGCGGGCCGGGCCTCCCCAGCCCCCCACAGCTGAGTGCGGTCATCCATGGTGTGGATCAGCTTGGCTGCCAGCTTGATGTCGTTGCGCAAGATCTGCTTGTGCTGCGTGATGCCGCTGACGTTGCGGACGCGGCGGGTCAGGTCACGGTTCACCCCGGGGCTGAGTTCACAATCTCGCAGCTGGGCCGACAGAGAAAAGAAGAGCTTGAGCTGTTCCTCGGCTTCAATGCCAACATTCCCCCCCCCCCCCCGCACCCAGCTCTGCCTTGGAGAAGGACCCCTCTCCTCCGGAAGCGGGTGAGAGACACTTTATGGTGGGTAACCTTTGGTGCCTTCCACCCCCAAGGGAGGGAAGATTGAGAAACAGCGGCAACAGGAAGGCCAGGGTGAGGGGAAACAGGGTACGAATATTTCTCGAGGGTCGTGCGTGTCCCTTTTCATCCTTTTACCCGAATGTTCTGAAGATTCCAGCAGATTTCCTTGATGTTGACGCTGCGATCAAAGGTAACCCAACCTCTTCGGAAAAACCTGAAACAAGAAAGGATCTCCTGAATTCACAGACCCCGCAAGTGACCTGCCAGAGGGGAACCAATGAAAACAGGCACCAGCGCCCTTGTGGCCTCGTTTCTGACAGCAGTGGGCTTTCTCACTTTATACATCGATTCAATCTGCAGGGCCGAGCAGGCCAGATCATGGATGCTTACCAGGTGTCTCCTGAATTTCAGAACACCTTGAAGCAACTGAACAGGCTGCCAGGGAGAGCGGCCCAGGTGCGAGGGTCCCCCCCCCCCNNNTTGTAAACTTTGCACAGCTAAAGTCACTCTGCAGGCGAGGGCTCTCCCAGGCGGTCTGGGGGACATTCCAGCGGGACAGGGCTGTAAGTGGCTTGGAACACTTTCCTCAGAGGAGCATTCCAGGAATTGTAAAAACAGGGCCTGCCCATGGTGCATTATGGTTCCCTAGGGGCCTGAAACCGGGTCTTCAACCTCCTTGCAGGCAAGCGGTTGTTCACAGGGATCTACTGTTCCAACAGACCACCAGACAGAAGGTCCTCTACCCACCATTTTGCCTCCACGCCAGCAGGCAAGGTGAGGCATCCACTGAAGCCTGCCCAGTGACTTCTAAGATTACTACGGCATCACTATTACGATTAAACCTCCATTCTGCACCTTTAGGGCGCGTCTAGCTGGATCTCATGGGATAAATGCCAGTGCTTCTCCCCTCCCCATTGTTTTTTGTTTGTTTTTCTTATCCTCTAGACCAGTGACAGAAACCGTTTTGGGTCCAAGTGCCCAAACTTGGGGGGGAGGAGAGGAAACCAGTGGGCAGCTGGTGGCAGAACCAGAAGTGGCGGTGGAAGGGGGAATCCCGGGCACAGAGGTGCCTCGAGACCCCACTCCAGATCTGCCACCAGCACCAGCTGCTCCGGATCCTGGCCTGCCACCTGTTGGGGCGCCAGCACCACAGCTACAGCCTCCTCGTCAGGTTTGGCTGCGGGGGGGTGGGGGGGCGAGTAGCGATCTGGCGACATATGGTTTGCGTGCCCGCAGAGAGGGCTCTGCATGTCAGCTGTGGCATGCCTGCCACAGGTTCGCCATCACTGCTCTAGACCAAGGAGAACTTCCAGAAAGCTCAAAGCTGGTTCCCTAATGAAGAATTCAAGAGAGGCACTGCTTGCCTGTTGGTTTTGTGATCAGCTGCTGCCAACCCAGAAATAAAAGATGTTGTGGGGGGTAGGTGGAGAGAGAGAGAGAGAGAGAAGGGTTACCTTCTTTCCGGCTGAGGATCGGAGAGTGCCACTCTCATAAAGCCAGGGTAGCGTTTGCAAAGCTGTGGGAGGAGGAAGACAAGAATCAGAAGTGGCCAACTGGGTGTTGGGGGAGTGTGGAATGAGTCCCCTTGCGCAGGCAGGAAGGAAACCTTCAACGCGTGTCAGCGACTGCCTCCATCATAAGGAAAGAATTGTTCACAATTCAGAGAAGCGGCTTCCTCGGGCTGCAGCTCTCTGCGGGCCTCAGCCAGCAGGGCCACCGGGACCCTTAGTCTGGAACATAAAATCCCTTGCGCATGGCAGGGGCTGAACCGGCATCATCACTGGCCCCTGACACTGTTCAGAAGGCTGGATGGCCAGGCGCACAGGAGATTAAACTGCATGTTTCCAAAAGCGTGCCGTCAGAGGGGATTCCGGCTTAAGGGCTTTAACTCCTCTGACGGCAGGCATTTTCTGTGTTTCCTGGAGTCTGTGGATGTTTGCTCTGTTCTTTGATTGGCCGCTAGGAGAAAAACACAAGGTTGCTTGCGAGGGCCCCTCCTCACACAGAAAGGTCCAATCAAATCACATCATCACTGCAACATTAACACATGGGCCGCTTCTAAGGACAGGCTCTCTGGAATGGGCCGTTTGACCCAGCCTCCTTATCCCTCCCCCCTTTACAAAAAAAGTTATACCCAGTGGATCTTCCCATCCCTGCCTGTCTCTGGGATGCCCCCTCCAGCTTCACCCATATCCCCTTGGCTCCGCTTGCTCCTCTTTGATCTTTTTGCTGCTGTGTCAAGAGGAGCTGCGCCCCCCTCCCCAGGCGTCCCCCCTTCACTCACTGCTACGATCTCTGCCTGCGAGATGTTGGGGGCGATGTTGCGGATGAAGAGGGAGCAGGTCTTGTGCAATGGACGGGGCTTGGGCTCTCCCTCCTTCTCCTTGGCTTTGGGAGACTCCTCGCCCTCCTTGGTGGCTGCCTTCTCCTCTTTGGGCTTTTCACCTGCAGGTCCAAAACAGAGGACCAAGAACTCAGAGCAGGGCTCTCCAGCACATAGGCTGTTCCCTTCCACCCCTGTTGGTGGCAACCCACCCAGCCCCACATACATACACCAAACTCCCACACACGCTGTTCCCTTCCACCCCTGTTGGTGGCCAAAGGCCACAGACTTTGTCCCGCACCCCCACATACATACACCAAACTCCCACACACCTTCCTTCTCATCCTCTTCGGGACGCCCGCTTTCCGATTCAGAGTCAGACTCGGAAACACTGCCCTCGTCGTAGCTGTCATCTCCACTGTGCTTCCGCTTGCGCTTGTGGCTGGTCTGTGAAGCAAAGGAGCATGGCCTCATCCACACTGAGTTATGGAGCCCAGAAGGACCTCAGCCATTCCCCTCGACAGGCCGCTGGGCTGAAATTCGCAACTGACACCTCTACCGTTACCTCTGCGGCTCAAGACACAGAGGCTCAAAGGTTCCCACTGAAGATTTTCGCCACCACAGAGCAGAAAAGGCAGCTCTGGCTAACATCCTGCCCCCCTCATACCGGGCTTTCCACTCCAGGCCCAGCCAAGTAAGCGACACCTCCGTACTTCCAAGAAACCTGGTACTATCTGCAGAAGTATCATGTCACTTAATACCTAGATTTCTGCCCCAGAAGGGAAGCCGGATGAAAGTAAAAGCAAACACAGCCACTTGGTCTTGTTTGGCTGCCAGACTGACGAAGGGAGAGCCCACAAAGGTTCTTTTTCGAACAACGGTTCCCATAAGCCTTCAGAGAGCGTGGGGCGGAAGCAGGTTGACCAGGGAATTCTGGGTATTATCTAAAAAGGAACTTTTCCAAGCTCTGGCCTAAAGTAGGCAAACACACACACACACACCCAGAGGGAAGGGGAAGAATGCTTTGTTCATCTCCTAGCTTGTCCCCCTCCCCCTATAACTGGAGGGCCCTGGATGAGCCACTGTCTGAAGCTGGATGCCCTACAAAGCTGGGCTTGCCATCTGCTCCCACTTGCCTTGCTCTACGTTCTTCGGCTTCCAAATGCTCCTAGAACGAAAGCCAGCCTTTCTTTGCCACCAGCCAAGAGATCTCTCTCCCGCTCTACCTTGAACAGAGCCAACGCCTAGCCCTGAAGGGCCAAGCTTCCCTGCACCGGCTGGCTGGGTCTACGCTGGCTGATTCCCTCTGGAAACTCTCTTTATCCCTGGAGGACCACGCGGTCAACGTGGCTTCTGCCAGCTGCCACTGGAAGCCAGAGGCAGAGAATGAAAGCCCCAGGCCGTACCTTCTTGGCCTCTTTGTCCGGCTCGTCTTTCTTCTCAGCCCGCTTCTCCTCACTTTCTGAGGCCTTCTTTGCTTTGTCCTCTGCGGTCTCCTCGTTGCTGGTCTAGTAGGGAGCCGAGGACACATCAGGGATCAGGAAGAGGTCAAAAGACCCACCCACTGGCTGCTCTCTGGCAACGCCAGCGGCTTGGCTTGGGGTGGCAAGAGGAAGGAGGGGGCCCTTGCCTGGCACACAGTGGATGCCTGACTACAGACCCCAAACCCTCACCCCTCCCCGCAGAACAAACCCCTCCTCACCTTCTTGGCCTCTTCTTTCTTGTCATCCTTCTCTGAGCCTTTGCGATCCAACTCCAAGAGCCTGTTTTCCTCCTTCTTCCCGGGCTCAGCCTTCTCCTGCCGCTCTTCCTCTTCCTCCTGGTCTAGGATTTTCAGATCATTCTCTGTCCCACCTTCCATTTTAATGACGGCTGCAAAAACACAGGGAGAAGCACTTCAGTGGACTCCCCAGCCCCCCACACGGTTGAGAAACAGGGAATGACGCTGCTGCATTTTCCTCTTGATCCCCAAGGCTGACCGGCTGAGGCTCCTGAGCAGCCCCGCCTGGGGGAGATTGAAGGCTCAAACCTCTGGTCCAGAAGGAAAGCACCTCGGAGGGCCTCAACCTCTCGCCTTCAATGGGGAAAGGACAGACTGTCTGCTGCTGGAGCACCTGGCCCCCTGCCATCTCCGTTTGCAAAAAAAAAAAGGGGGGGGGAGGACTGCTGGGGGCTTTTGAGGTGAGGGAAAAGGCCAGCAAACAGCAACGTAACCCAGAGGAGATTCTGCTTGATCTCCACCCTATGGAGAAGGGATGCAAGACACACCCCTGCCCAAGACGCACATATGGATTTAAAAGGAGATGGGATCAATGCATGGAGGGTAAGGGCCATCCATGGCTACCAGTCAGGTTGGCAAAGGCTGGGTGCCCTCCTCACATCTCTGGCTGCCAAGCTTCCCGCAGGCAGGCAGGTTTCTGACGGCCCTTTGCCACCTACCAGCATCCAAGACTTTGATGATGGTGTTGGCTTTGTCAATATCCAGCTGCAAGTTCTCAAACCAGCCATTGTCCATGAGATACAGGAAGACGTTCAGGCGGTTCTGGAGGGCGTTGTGGGACTCCTGCTTCCTCCGGCCGGCTTCATCCGGGTGGTACTTGGACCGGAACCTAGAGGGAACCCAGATTAGGAGGCAGGAGGAGGGAGAAGGCGAGGAGAAGGGGAGGCACAGAAAGGGGGAGAGGGAGGAAGATGGGCGTGAGCCAAGAGGAAGAGGCAGCCGTGTCTCTTTCGGTCACTAAATCACGCATGCAAAGCGAGGGCGGGAGGAATGCCATGTGATGCTTTCGGACGGGAGGGGCACTGAGAGGGCGTCGGGGCACAGCCTGAGAAAACGGAACCCTGGCAGGGTGAGAGGAAGCACCGAAGGCTGAGAAACCTGGGGCTGGCCGTGGCGGCTCTTGGGGACGGCCTGGCGCCACTCTCCGCCTCTCCCTTCAGCTCCACCACCGACCTAGGATGCCTCCCAGAGACATTATGTTCTGACTCTCTCCCCCATGTTCACAACAGATGAGCAAGGGACTCTGCCTCAACTCCTCAGAGGAAGTGGTCACCCTTGAGCTCCGGAGTGGGTGGGTGGGGTGGGTGAGGAGAAAGAAGCAGAGCCCAGCGAAGAATCGGCTGCAGCCACGAGGGAGAGGACATGGGCAGTGCCCTCCACGCCACTGGTCTGCCCGAGCAGTCTCTTCCTTTCTTCTCTGTGTTCTCAATCTCAGCCCCTTTTCTGCACCAACATCAAGGTTCCAGCCCTCATTGCCAAGGCTCGCTGGTCCCCCTGACTCGTTGCTTTCCACTCTGCACCTGGGCTCCCTGCAGCTCCTCCAGCCCCCTCCCTTCCATGCTGACGTCCCACTGCCCCCTCTGGATCATCCAGTCCTCGCTCTCCCCAAGTGCTTTGGCCCATGACCGTCCTGGTGCCCCCCCATCTCCTTCAGATGGGCAGAGACAGCAAGCACAGAGGGGCAGCCCCAACAAACTCTGCAGACAGCAGAGTGCTTTCCGGACAGCCTGGCGGGGCAAAAGCTAGGACGGCCCCTTTCTAAATGCAGTCTGGGGGGGAGGGAGGCACAGGGTGACAAGCTCACACTCCCCTTGGATTTCTGAGGGGCTTTTTGCAGTCATCTTGCAAAGTGGGGAGCACACCTGAGGCTCTTGGGTGCCTGGGGAGGAGTTTGCCTAAGCAGCTCAGGTGGGAAGGGGGTTAAAAAAGGGGGAAGGGAGGGAAGGAGGACAATCAAACCCAAAACACACCATCTACAAACTGTACCTTGCAAATACAAAGATAAGCGTTTAGAACTGTTTTTTTTTCTCTCAGCTCTGATTTAAGAAGACAGAACACGTCATACATACACTGAGGGGAGTCACACTCCGAGCCTTCCAAGCGAAGAGAGCTTTCTTCGGCGGATTTTAAGAAAAAAAATGCACCCGGGTTTACCAACATTGGCATCGCTCTCTCTCATGCTGGGCCGCAGGGCTTCCAAAAAATCAAAAACAAAAAAAACAGAGAGCAAGGAGTCGTGTGTGCCTGCGGCTCCCCTGCGCTGCCTACATCCTGTCAGATCACATTCAGCTAATCACTGCATTGTGCACAGTGACGGCCCTGGCTGTCTAAGCTACGGCGGAAAAATCAAAAACAAAAAGCCAGCAGAGAGAGGAAGGCAAACGGTTTTTAAAAAAATGGATTCAAGGCTCTTTGGACTGTTTGGTTTATATTTGGATTCTCCAGGCAGAGGACGGATGGTTTTTGGAGTCTCCTGCGAGAGGTTCTTGGGAGGAGGGGAGAAAAGGCCAGGTTATTACAGTTAACATCCAGCACAAATGCAAAACCAAAAACTACAAAGGAAATCAGAATGGTTAAGGAGGAAGAGAGAGAAACCGCTGCGAGAGACCCCCCCAGAGGGCAGCCTCCCCCCCACCCCCCTCTAAACGGCACACCTTCCCAAAGGGTTGGGCTAGGCCTCCCCATGGCAGGAGCTGCAGCTCGACACGACGGCAGATGAGGAAGGCTGTGGTAGCCGGGTGGGAAAAGCCGTCTTCCAGCTCCACCCCGGGGGGGGGGGGTTGGGGGTCATCACCTTCAAGGCCCAGTCCCACCTGCCCCCTCCCTCCCTCGACCGGGAAGAGGCCTCTCTGTCGGGCTCAAACGCTGGACGGAGGGCAAGGGAGGAGAGGGCAGCCACCATCAACGGCAGCTGCAGGTGTTCAGACCAGCACCCGAGCTGGGGGGGGGGGCATCAGAAGCCCTTTTCCAAGTTGGGCTGGGGAAAAGCACCCCAGAGGGCATCTGTTTGGACTGTGGCTGACACCCGTCCCTGGCAAAGCCCCTTCCTGAGGTTCTGGAGTGGGAGCGGCTTGCTGTGCCCCAGAGATTGGTGGGCCCCAAAAAAGGGCTTGGCAGAAACGGCGGCAGTTACAACGCGGCCTCCCTCCCCGTGGACTGGAGTGGCCTCAAAGCCCCTTTTCGGGAGAAGAGGTCTTCAGCCTCAGGCTCTGGGCACCTGACCAGGTCTCCAGCAAGGTTTACCTCAGAAATACGTTGCTCTTTTAGGATAGTCTATTGAACCATCCCCTAAGCATACTTGTTGCTGTAACAGAAACAAAACCCCTCTCTCGCTCCAAATCACCCACAGGCATGTTTTGAGATTCTTAAACCCCCTTCATCAAACCCTGGCAGGGGGCCATTGGAACAGCCCTAGCAAAATTTAACCAAAAGAAAAGAAATGTAGAACGATTATGGGAATTAAAATGAAGGCAAATCAAGACACTGTGGGAGAAAAGCAATTTTTTTGACTCAATGTGGTGGTGGGGAATGTGCAGGCAGCAAAACAGAGGAGCTGCCCTCACAATTTGGGGTCTGTCCTTTAAACGGCAATGCGGGAAATGTTGGTGCCGAAGGATTTATTTTATTTATTTTTATTATTATTATTATTAGACTTTTACCCCACCCATCTAGACAATGTCTACTGTAGGACAATGTCTTACAGAACTGGCTCAGGTTGAGAAGAGTGTGGCAATTAGCAAAGACAAGCTGTAAATCATGACAGTCAGGGCAGATTAGAAGAGATCTCCAAAAAAGGGACACAGGGCAGCTCAGCTTTGTGCAGCCATGGCAGCCGGGCGCTGGGGGCAGAGTTTTATCCGCGGATTTTCCTCCCAACCTCTGGTGTTGCCTCTTCCTCGCCTGTTGTGGCTCCAGCATTCTGTTTTGCTGCTCTGCTTTGCTGATACTGCCTCCCCCGCCCCCCACCAAAACCTCCTCCTAGTTCCCTTTCATTCTTTCTCTACAAATGTCCTGACAACCCATTTCATTGTCTAAATACTGTATGGATTAATTCCGTAAGTAGAGGGTCCACTGTATTCCTCTGGCCTGGCCTGCTGACTGCCATGCTTCTGCTTCATTTCTTGAAAGAACAAAGGGAGATATGAGGCTCCTGTAAAGACCAACCAGCTCATGGAAACATGAGTGGTTGCAAACTCACAGTTGGCTTTCCCTTAAAACATTTTACAGCTTGTGCTTCCAGTAGCACTTTCGTGTTTACTAAACACCACACAGCAGCTCCTGTCTGCCCCATAGCTCAGGAACCATGAATGAACCAAGCTCCACACAGAAAGGCGCTCTCCGGAAGCAGGGTGCATAACCAAGCCAGCACTGCAGAGATGTTTTCTTCAACGGTTGTGGTGGTGGCGGGGGGCCGAAGACAGCTGGGTGAAAGCAGCACCAGAGGGCTTATTTCCCCTTCACAAGTTGCCAGAGGCAAAAAATAAAAATTATCCATGGATCTTAAGGGGTGTGTGTGTTTGTGTGTAAATTCTTCCTACTATCTAGAAACATACTGGGAGCAGGGCCTCTTTGCTGCCCTCCCTGGTATTCTGCCTTTACCCAGAGCACAAACCTGGGGGTGGGTGGGGAAAGGGGTGTTTCTGAAAATTCTACCAAGGTGGGTCCATTTGGGAACTGGGACGTGCCAGGCTTCACAACACTTTGGCCCACCTATGATACTCTTTCCTACACAGCTTCCACTTCCTGTGCCATTCACCCCCTGAGCGCAACCACAGAGGCACCGTGACTGGAAGAGATGTTTTTCCTTGGGCCTCGCAGCCCCAGAGAAAGAAGAGAGGCCCAGCCCACGAGAGACGTACCACTCCTCGTCTTTGTGCGCCAGGAAAAAGTCCTGCATCTGCTGCCGCCTGAAGTCCAGCTTGTAGTCGTTGTAGCGCTTCACGGCCTCCGTCTCATCCACGGAATCGTCCAAGGAGAGGAGAAACTCCTTGAAGCTCTTCATCACAGGAGGGGTGATCCCCAAGTCCACCTCAGCAATGTTGCCCAGCCTGAGGAAAGAAGGGCAGCGTCACTCTGGCAGGTTAAGATGTTTGACACAGGCTGAAACCGTTCCCTCTTTGAACCAGCCGAGGCCCTGCCGATCCTCCTCCAGGGCTTATCTGATCTGCTGATCGTAACAAGGGCATCTAAACTGAATCTCCTCAAGGAGCCAGCTGTTACGTACAATTCTTTTATTGCCTTTGCATTCTCTTTCAGATGCTCATGTCCTGAACTTTAATCCAAAAGAAGATCTCAAGTCAGCAGAGAAATTAAAAAGGATTACAAACACAACGTACAAGTCCCTGAGCATCCACCTTCAGAAGGCCTTCCCACAGGACTTGTGGCTGAGACCCAAGGCAACGCTGTGGGGCCAGGAGGGCTGAAATAAAAGCAGGCATTGCATTTCTTTTGTCACGTAACAGGCAATGCACAAGCATCTCTGGGATTAGACCCGCTTGCTTCTAAGGCAGACTAAAAACTCCCCCTTCGCTCCAATCCTCTACTTTTGGTCAGAGCCAGCCGGAGGGTTTGCTCGGGGAACAGGACAGAGTTGGCCACAAAAGCTTACCTGGCTTGGATTGGTAAGATGTGGTGCTGCGTCACATGCATCTCAGGGTGAGCCCAGGGTTGGGGAGGTCCATATGTGGGGCCAGTGGAGACCCCAGTGTAGGGCATCTCATAGCCGGTGTGATAGGGGTCAGCGGTGTGCTCATCCCTGCAATAAAAGAACCACCACCAAAACACAATGAGGGAGAAGAGCTCCAAGTTTGGTTGCAGCAAAAGCAAAGAACTCGGCATCACCTTCAAGAGGACTTATGTTCTTTTTTTCGTATGAGTTTTGGGGGAAGGTAGACAGCTCATTTCATCATGCATCTGAAAAAAGACTACAGATCCCTAAACTTTAGTTCCAATAAATCTTGTTAAGTCTTTCAGGTGACACAAAATGAAAAATTAATATCCTGGAGCAGACAGGGGTTAGGAGAAAACAAAGGCATTCAACAGAACATGGAATGTGGCTTTGTGGGCAGATGAACCATTAAATAAAGTGCAGACTTTGACCGTAAACAGAAATCAAGAGTCTTTGCCTTGCCCGCATGTGGACGTCTAACTGCTACGAAACACAATCGCTCCTGAAGAATCCTCTGCCACTGAGATCTTACAAAAGGCACCCTGACAATCACCTTCAAGAAAACTGAACAAGACCTGCTGATTCAACACCTGTGTGCCAACTGGGATGTGCAGAGGAAGAATGCATTATGTTTCTGGGCAGCAAAAGTCAGGGCAAATAATGGGTTCCAAATATTCCCACCAGGCCCTGTTTGGGTGGCAAAGGGCAGCCGGCAGCCTACATGTAACGTTTCTGAGCATTTCTGCAGCCCCCAGGAGTCCCCCACATTACATTTTTTTAAAAAGTAAACAGCAGCCTAGAAGCAAGAGCTTCCTGCTCTTGGGATTTGGGGAGTTCTCAAAAACTCCCCCAAACTCTAAAATCTGGAAGTGCCTGTTTCACTTTCTCTTTTTTTAAAAAATGCAGTTTTTAGCCATCTCCAGAATTGGTGCTGCCCATGGAGGTGGGTGGAACTAGGTGCTTAAATTTAGTCCCTCAGATCTTGCTTGTCCCACACAACCTGCAGACTTTCCTAAGTGCCCCCATTTTGGATGGGGATGATGGATGCTGTAGTCCCAACACATCCAGAAACCGACAATTTGGAGAAGGATGGCCTAAACCAGCTGCCTGGCACAGTCGGCTGTTCCAGCACACTTCTTGTTTGGAATCAGAAATTTAGGAGCTACCAAATGCAGAACAAGAAAAGGATCAACGGATCACCCACCAGTCTCGACGCATACGTTTCTGTGGTGGGCTGAGCTCGTGGCGAGGTGGGGAAAACCGCTCTCTCCGGTTCCGATCGTAATCACGGTATTCGCCTCTGCTCCGACGTTCTCGGCCCCTGTCCCACTCCCTGGGAGTAAGAAGGACTCAACAGGTAAACAAGCAGGAAGACTGCCGAGCCCTCACTGACGCAGGCAAGATAAGAAGTCAACAGGGAAAGAAAGCTTTCTCTACCCACAAATGGAAGAACCCCTGAGGACAATAACTCTCTCGCATTCTAACCTTACAGATATTCCGGCAAGCAAAACAAAACACAGGAAAATTCTATGTCAGAATGCAGACCTAGGAGAGTTCCCTCAAACACACAGTGAATTCCCAGCACAGAACACGTTTCAGCTTGGCCTCTTGAGGCCCAAACCACTTGCCCGCCCCCCTTTCCACTTTTCTCCTATTCACCCTACCCCCAAATGGTTTGGGCATACCTGTCACTCCAATCATCTCTCCTTCGATCATCACGTTCTCGAGAGCGATCATAGTCACTCCTTTCACGGCGGAATTTATCCCGCCGCCTGCGGTCGTACTCGTCGTCACTATCACCCATGGCTGGAAATTATGGTCTGCAAAGCAAGCAAAACAGAGTAAATCAGAAAGCACAAACATCGCACTGTATAAAACAAACAAAAATTAGACCTGAGTCTGCACCTGGAAGCCACAGCTGGGGGTCCAATCCCTGCTCCCAATCAAGGTCTGAACCAAAAGCATGGAGAAATGTAGGAGGAGCATCCACTTCCGTATGAGCCTACCTGGAAATCACAAGTTTTCTATGGAGGAACCTTTTGCTTGCTACCCAGAGAGATTAGGTTTGTAAGTACACAAGGCAGGGTTTTCCCTGTGGCGGTCCCTCAGTTCTGGAAGTCTTTCCCAACTAAAATCATATTCCCTCCATCCCTGTTACCCTTCTGACAATCAAATAAAACTCCATTACAGTGGTGCCTCGTTTAGCGATTGCTTCGTTTACGACGAAATCGCTTAGCGATGACTTTTTCTGAGTGTTTTTACGCTTCGTTTAACGGTGGCCCCTATGGGCAATTTTCGCTTAGCGATGGCTGGGACCATGCTTCGCATAGCGATTAAATTTTGGGTCCCCTGTTTCGCTTAACGATGGTTTAAACAGCCTCATGTTTGCTGTTTTTTAAATGTTTTTCTGTTATTTATAAAGTTAAAGTTAGCAGCGATTTTTTGGAACCAATTAACATCGTTAAGCGAGGCACCACTGTATTGTCAAAGAGCTCTGTTCTTTAAAATACCTTTGAAGTGCTTTTCAATCTGTTGCTAATACGCACTTTAAAGCATATACACACAACAGTAGGAATCTCAGAAGTGTTATGAAGAAAAAAGACCTATAAATTAGCTTTCCCCCCCCCCCCCTCAAAAACCTGCTTGTTCCAGGAACAGGGCTAAGGAACCATACAAAATTGAGGAGTCTCATATCTTGGATGTAAGAGATGAGAGTAATCTGGAAGTCCAGTTCTGTTAGGAACAGAAGAAACATTTGGGGAAAGCTGTGTGTCATGTTACTCACACAACACAGAACAGATGGCAAAGGACCTTTTAATCAAAGACCTGGGGAGAAAAGAGGCCGGCCCTGGGAAGCATCCAGGTTGAATTATCCCTAAAAGTTTAAATGAAAAAGAAATTCTGACTGCCTAAAAGTTAATACAGGATAGCTTTGGGTTGTGTGTATAAAGTAAAATACAAAAAGTGGCTCAAGGTCTAAACAGAAAATGTGTGGGCCGGAGACATCCAGAGGAGGACATTGTGTGTAGGTGGTTCTATGTCAACAAACAAACAAACAAACAAACAAAGCAGGAATTGGCAGTGCCTAATTTTCAAGGAAAACACAGGACAAGGATACCAAACTGAATGGAGCTCTCAAATGGGCAAGGTCTGTAATCTTCAGAGAGAACTGCCAAGGGAGATGCTACCAGGTCCCCGAAGTGGCTGAGATCTGTGCCCTTGAACAAAACGCTCAAGGTGACAGCGCTGCACAAAAGATGGAATCAGGGACGTACAACCCCCTTTCCCAAAAAAAATACAGTGCTCGGTGGACATCTTCCTTCCTTCCTTTCCATTCATCCTCAGCTCCCTCCTTCCTTCTTTATTCCCTCCCTTTCCTTCCTTCCTTCCTTTGTGGGCTTGACTGACTAGAGGCTTATTTCTTCTCTTCGTTTATAAAGGGGTCCATCAATATTTCTTCATGAGTTTAATAGACAAGAAGCTGAAACAAAAACTCCTGCTTCCGAGCTGGGCCAGCCTCCGAGGCTGCAGGCAGGACCAAGGTCTGCTTCTTCGCCCCACGCCCCGGTTCTCTCTATTCCCCCCCCAACCCCTCACCACGACCGCCCCAAAGGGACACAAAGCCCGCCAGGTGGTCACAAGGGCGTGTAAGGCGGGTGTGTGTGTGTGGCCCTTCACACAACCGGAACACCGTCCAGTTCAGGTCACGAATCTTCTTTTCCCCCCCCCTCCTCCGTCCTTCCCGGGGAGTGTCCTCCGGCACCGAAAAAGACACCTTCGGGGCCGAAAGTACCTCGTCCTCCATCCTCCCCATACCACTCAGAGGAGGAGCATCCCGGAGAGGAATCTTCCGGTGCGGACGACGACACCGAGTCGGAGGTGTCCTTAGAAGTTCCGATCCCTGGCGAACCTTTGCCTCCAGAGGCAGCGAACTTGAAACCATCCTCTCCTTCGGAAGATTTTTCTTCCTCCCGCCCTCAGGGCCTTCGGAGCCTCGGCCTTTCCTGAAGCGCCCCTTCCGGGTGACTCACGAGGGCCCGACGAAGACCAAGACCCGCGACGGACGGACGGACCGACGGACGGCCTCCTTCCTTCCGCCCGTTCGCCCGCTTCTCCCTCTCCCGCTGGCGCCCTCGCGCCCTGCCCGCGCCGGAAGCTCCGCGGCGCGTCGGCAAACACTTCCGGCGCCTGGCCGCGAGCTGGCCTATCAGGCCGGGAGGGTGTGTGACCCGGAAGTAGAAGGGAAGGGAGGAAGTGGGGGCGGGCGTAGGAGTCCGAGACGACTTCCTGCTTCCCTTCCCAAAACTCCCTGTCTTTTTTTTGGGGGGTTAGACTGCGCCTACTCTGGGCGGTTTACAACAAAATATCATAAAGACAGTTAAAAACATAGGTTATCGCAATATATCAATGACAGCATCAAACGTATGTGGCCCTGTCATATCACAATTACATTTTTTAAAAAGGATTTAGGATTTGGGATGCTTGGCACGAATCTTCTTGGCTGCCAGGGCAGATTCTTGCTACTTGATGGGTGGTAAATACATGTTTCCTCGCTCGTGGCCTATTATTCCCAGGTGGGGGGGGGGAAATCCTTTCCGAAGGGGACTTCTTCTCTCCTCTCTTGGCTTTATTTTTATTTATTTATTGCATTTATATCCCGCCCATTTAGACTGCGCCTACTCTGGGCGGTTTACAACAAAATATCATAAAGACAGTTAAAAACATAGGTTATCGCAATATATCAATGACAGCATCAAACGTATGAGGCCCTGTCATATCACAATTACACTTTTAAAAAAGGATTTAGGATTTGGGATGCTTGGCACGAATCTTCTTGGCTGCCAGGGCAGATTCTTGCTACTTGATGGGTGGTAAATACATCCCTGTCCACAAGCAGCATGCAGAGTTGAGCCAAGGGAGGGCTGTCAGGCAAAGTCCTGAGTATGCCCGCAAGGAATTTGCTCCTGGGGTGATCATAAAAAGGACACCTTCACAAATAATGAGAAACATCTTCAACTTCTCCTGATCCACATACATAAAGTCCGACTGCAATGTTAGTAGGAAGATATGAAAATGTCCCTTTTGATCAAAGACTCTCTCAAGAGGACAAAGCTTTCCACCCACTTTGGATGAGGAAACTTGGGCCACGAGCTGATTTGAAATCTCAACACCGGCTCCCGCTGCCCGAGGACTCCGGTTGACCCAAAACAGAAACAGGACTGGGAACCAAGCCCTGAAAGAGGAAGGGTTTGGCCGCCTCTCGCCTGTTGCAGATGAAAGAGGGGACTCCACCTCCTTTCTCAGACACCCGAAGGGCTGTCCTGTAGGTGGTGCCACAGGCTCATTTTCAGCTAGCTGGGGTAAGACCAGAAGTAGCAGGGGGGGAAGAAAGGACAGGCCACATCAGAAAGAATTCCTCAGAGACAGAAAGCCGCTTCCGCCGCCATGCAATCTGCCTGGCGGGTTGCAGGCTCTTCTCCATGCGAGGTTTTTAAACAGAACTCTTGAGGGTCACCCGTCCGCAAGACCTCTGGATTGCCTGCCCTGGTGAGAGAGCAGACGAGGTGACCCGGGGGGGGGGGNTTCAGTTTTCATTTTGGGTCCAGAGTGAATCTCCTGCTGACTTTTCCTCAATATTTAAGGATTTATTTAATTCACTCGCATGCTGCCCAAACAATGCTCGGTGCTTGCTCTGGGCGCCCATATATATAAAAAAAGAATATAACAAAAAAACAAACTCATAATCAAATAAATCAAAAACTTAAGCCAAACCTCCACTCATAAACCAAACAAACCAAGCAGTGGCTATACAGGCAACATGGGAGTAGCAAGACCAAAAACTATTAGGAGTAGATGCCCTCAAAGACTTTGATGAACAACTTTGTTTTGAGCATCCTCTTAAAAGGCTGAAAGGGAGGGGGCCAGGCGCCAATCAATGGGGAGCCCCTTCCACAGGGAAGGAGCCACCACTGAGAAGGCCTGGTTTCTCACATATGTCTTCCTGGCTTCTCTCGGTGGGGCAACCTCGTAAGAGCACAGCCAGTGAGGACTGGGTGACTAAGGTTCTTAGGGAAAGAGGCTGGAAGAACTCACAAGGTCCCACACTGCAGGGAGCCTTAGAGGCAAGAACCAAAACCTTGAAGCTAGCCCGGAAGGACACAGGGAGCCGGCGTATGCGTGCCAGGACTGGGGAAATGCGATGGAAACTTTTTCACATTAGAGCCCAGCCTGGCCGTTGCCTTCTTCACCCACTGAAATCTCTGGGTGTTTCAAGGGAAGCCCCACACCACTAGTGTTGGAGTAGTCAATCTTTGAGACCGCCAGCACCTGTCCCAACATCTTCAGCCCCCACCCTGGCCAGGCAGGGCAGGGGCAGAACTGGGCGATCAAACTCCGGGGAGGGGGGGTGTTGAAGGCTGACTTGGTCACATCGTCCCTTCCTATGAAAAGGCCGGATCCAGGAACATAACCAGGTTGTTTGCTCACCCCACCCAGCCTGGGAAGATCACCACTAACTTCTGGGGAGGGCCCCAAAATGAGGATCTCGGCCTTGCCCGGGTTCAGCTTCAGGCTACCAGCCTTGTCTACGCCTGCCTGCCTGTTTGTTGCCACGTGGCTGGGTGTATTTCTCTGCTCTAAATTAGATGGGCATTGTTGGACAACAGGTGGACAAGATGGCAGCTTTTCTGGGAGAAAAACAGATGAAGGGTCCCGTGGCAAGAATTCCTTCTTGGAAATTAAAATTCACTTGGTTTGCAGTAAAGGCTTCGGCAAGGTAAAATTTTTATTTGGCGGTGCAGCCAGAGAAGAGTTAGGGACAATGCACTCGTTGACGGGAAGAGAACCACCCTCACCCCACCCCCGATCCCAAACCCTGCAACCGAGTTCGCTGCCCTCCTCGCCGTCGCCCACCGTGGGGGTTCCTCGTGAAAACGTCCCAAGTGACTCAGCCTTTCCTCCCCTGCGTCGCCGGCAGGCGCACCCAAAGCACCTCAGTTCGCTCCAGAGTCCCGCAAACCATCACGGAGACCCTGGTCAGGCCAGGGAAGCAGGATGGGGAGCAGACGGGGCGGGGGAGAGCCGGATCTTGGCCGCAGAGAGAGAGGAAGAGCACCCGGGGTCGTAAACATTTCCGAAAAGGGTCACCGGGAGGTCCAGACGATGCCCCGCGATTCCCTGAGGGTCAGCAGCATGGTGAAGGGTGGCAGAGAGGGTTCTCGCCCGCTAACCCCCCAGGCGGATGCTCTGGATCATCTGGAAGATGGCTGGAAAGAGATACACAGAGGTCCCGTGAGGAGGGAGCTGGGGTGGGTGGGTGAGAGGGACCCTGAAGCCCCCCCCGCCCCACAGCCAGGCTCCACACCTTCTCCTGGCTGCCTAAGGGGCTCCTCCGCTGCTGCAGGTGGACCGGCCTTTCCTCTGCCCTTCTGACTTTCCTGGCAGGTGCCCGCTTGGCCCAAGGGAATGGCACTAGCTGGGCCAGGTTGGGGCCTCCTGTGATGGTCTGGAGGCCAGTTCCCCACCCCGATGCGGGATGCAACCCCCTCTTGGAAGGGGCCCAATAGCTAAGGGCTAAGCTCTGCAGGCCTAGTCCGGGGGGGGGGAGTGCCCGTTTCCTGGACAAAAATCACTG